GAAGAATTCCCAGAGATGGGAGGGTCCTCCTCGTCCTCCTCCGGCTCCGAAGCGACAGTCCTTCCTCCACCAATGGAGGTCTATAAAAGAGGTGCTGACTTGGAGGAGCCGAGTTCTTCCAGAAGGCATTTGAAGAAGATGAAGAGGGATTCTGAGGGTGATAACTCTGAGCCTTAGGAAGGAGCTTTAAGAATAGATGTCGTTCTCCCCTTCCCCTTTTCTCTTTCTTTCTCTTTTTTTGTAAGCCCTGTTGGACCCCTTTTTTGTAATAAAAAAAAGATGTACAAGACTCATTTTTGAATGATAGTGATTTCTCCTGTCTTTTGCTTTTGAGAGTTGTTAAAATGATTTGAACATGTTGAAACTTTGTTTTTTTTAGAATAACGTCGGTCCGGCCTTGTCTCGGGTTCATCTAGGTAGGGAACCATACATGTAGCGCCGACTTGAGGAGTTTTTGTATCTTAGCCATTTTTTATGCGGAATCAACAGTTTTGGAACCGACTAAGAAGTCGTTGTGCCTTGTCTGGTTCTCAGATGAAGAGCCAAGGACTTTGTTCCGACTGAGAAGTCATTGTGCCTTGGTTTTATCCAGATTAGGAAGAGCTAAGGGTTTTATTCTGACTGAGAAGTCGTTGTGCCTTGGTTTTATCCAGATTAGGTACCAAGGTCTTTTATACCGACTAAGAAGTCGTTTTGCCTTAGTTTTATCCAGATTAGGTACCAAGGTCTTGATACCGGCTGAGAAGTCATTTTTACCTTGGTTTTACCCTGAGGAGGTACCAAGATCTTGATACTAACTGAGAAGTCATTGTGCCTTGGTTTTATTCAGATTAGGTACCAAGGTCTTGACCATATGATTGATGAGAGCCGACGAAATCGAATCATATGTTATGCCTTGGGCTTACCTTTAAGAAGAGCCAAGGTCTTTGTTCCGTCTGAGAAGTTGTTGTGCCTTGGTTTTATCCAGATTAGGTACCAAAGTCTTGAACATATGATTGATGAGAGTCGACGGAATCGAATCATATGTTATCCCTTGGGCTTACCTTTAAGAAGAGTCAATGTCTTTGTTCCGACTGAGAAGTCGTTGTGCCTTGGTTTTATCCAGATTAGGTACCAAGGTCTTAACCATATGATTGATGAGAGCCGACGGGATCGAATCATATGTTGTGCCTTGGGCTTACCTTTAAGAAGAGCCAATGTCTTTGTTCCGACTGAGAAGTCATTTTACCTTGGGCCTATCCTGAGGTGACACCAAAACTGTTGACTGAGAAGTCGTTGAGCGTGGGGCCTATCCTAAGGCGGCGCCAAGGTCTTGTAACCGACTGAGGAGTCGTTGTGCCTTGGTTTTATCCAGATTAGGTACCAAGGTCTTTTATACCGATTGAGAAATCGTTTTGTCTTGGTTTTATCCAAATTAGGTACCAAGGTCTTGATACCAACTGAGAAGTCGTTTTTACCTTAGTTTTACCTTGAGGAGGTACCAAGGTCTTGATACTGACTGAGAAGTCATTGTGCCTTGGTTTTATCCAGATTAGGTACCAAGATCTTGACCATATGATTGATGAGAGCCGACGGAATTGAATCATATATTGTGCCTTGGGCTTACCTTTAAGAAGAGCCAAGGTCTTTGTTCCGACTGAGAAGTCGTTGTGCCTTGGTTTTATCCAGATTAGGTACTAAGGTCTTGACCATATGATTGATGAGAGCCGTCGGAATCGAATCATATGTTGTGCTTTGGGCTTACCTTTAAGAAGAGCCAATGTCTTTGTTCTGACTAAGAAGTTTTTTTACCTTGGTTTTATCCAGATTAGGTACCAAAGTCTTGATACCGACTGAGGAGTCGTTATGCCTTCGGCTTATCCAGATTAGGAAGAGCCAAGGGCTTTATTCCGACTGAGAAGTCATTTTGCCTTAGGCCTATCCTGAGATGGCTCCAAAACTGTTGACTAAGAAGTCGTTTAGCGTGGGGCCTATCCTGAGGCGGCACCAAGGTCTTGTAACCGATGATGAGTCGTTGTGCCTTGGGCTTATCCAGATTAGGAAGAGCCAAGGGCTTTATTCTGACTGAGAAGTCGTTGAACTTGAAGGATGCGATTTCAGGCTTTGTTTAGCTTGAAAGGTGCGATCTCCATAACGCTTCAAGAATAAATAAGATCAGGTCCCTGCTCATAGTTGGGCATTTTTTCTCAGAGAAGAAAGCGGGCCCCACAGTGGGCGCCAAACTATTGATGCTCGTAAACAAATAGTCGATGGGGGTTTTCCCGTTAATGATTAGGGATGGGAGGATGAAAGAAGGGATTGGCTCCTACTATGACTTTATGTCTGATTCTGAGCGTTTGGGATGGACTGATAACATGCACATTTGAGAAACGCAGGAGTACGGGGCTAGTTTCCCCCTAGTACCTCCGACGATCAAGTTAGTTGGTGGGCTTGAGGGAGGTTTTTTTTTAGAGGTCCCTGGGCCATTGAGGTCCTTGCAGGGCGTTTCTCTTTTAGGGTTGTTAGGATTATTAAGAAGTGAAAATCAAGTTCGAGTGTAAGAATCTTTTTTTCCTCCTTACCTCCTTTTATATACCCCCCCCCCCTCTGGAAAGTTTGACTCTCGGCCT